CTGGACGTGCACTCGTCCCGGGGCCTGGGAACGCCCTCCCAGCCCTCAGCCGGGACCCGTCGCCGACCTTGCCGGCTCTGGGCACACCTGTCCCACAGCCACGGGCAGGGCTGGGGAGGCTGGAAGCCATGGTGTCGGCCTGCTTCTGGGATGCTCACTGTGGGTCTCTGCGTCAGGTGCCCACAGAAGCTGCCGGGTGTAGAGGTCTGTGACGAGCCTGGCCGCTGGTGCACGTGGCTGCAGGGGCCACCCGCTTGCCTGCCCCTCTCCCCTCTCCAAGCCCCGGGTAGTCACTTCCTTGATGGAGCAGAGGTTCGGGCTGCTCTTGGAGGCCTGGCAGCAGCACCCACCCCACCCTGGAGGTGAGGAGCCCCGCATCACTGCCCACTGACGTGGCTGGTCCAGTCTCAGGAAGCCCGGGCACCCCCTGCAACTGCACGGGAGAGCCACTGTCCCCACTGCCCCCATCTGTGTGTGACAGAGATGAGGATGGCCTGGCTCAGGCTTCCAGGTGAGACCCCAAGGGCAGGAGGGCCACCCTGCGGGGGCGGGGAGGGGTGGCAGCTGCCCTGTGCTCTTGCGTGCTGAGTCCCCTGCCTGTGGACTCATCGTGGTCACACCCCTCACCCATGTGTGGTGCATCTGCATCCCATGGGATCCACGCCCACGTGCCCACACTGGTACCCAGTGCCTGGGAGGGACCAGCCCTGGTCACTGTGCAGACACCAGCTGTGGCAGAGACTATGTGCATGTGACTGCATGTGTGTACACATGACTTCATGTGTGTGCACGTGTGGCTGTATGTGTATTGTGCACATGAGTGTGCACATGTGGTTGCATGTGTACTGTGTGCACATGACTGCATGCGTGTAGTTTTATGTGTAGTGCACACGTGAGTGCATGTGTGCTTGCACATGTGCCTGCATGCGTAATCTGCACATGAGTGTGTGCATGTGTGGTTGTGTGTAGCATACATGTGAGTGCATGTGCGTGCACACATGCGGTCATGTGTCTAGTGTGCACACGAGTGCATGTGTGTGCACGTGTGGTCATATGTGTACTGTGCACACGAGTGTGTGCATGTGTGATTGTATGTGTAGTGTGCACATGAGTGCATGTGTGTGCACGTGTGGTCATACGCGTAGTGTGCACATGAGTGTATGTGCATGTGTGGTTGCATGTGTAGTGTGCACATGAGTGCATGTGTGTGCACGTGTGGTCATACGCGTAGTGTGCACATGAGTGTATGTGCATGTGTGGTTGCATGTGTAGTGTGCACATGAGTGCATGTGTGTGCACGTGTGGTCATACGCGTAGTGTGCACATGAGTGTATGTGCATGTGTGGTTGCATGTGTAGTGTGCACATGAGTGCATGTGTGTGCACGTGTGGTCATACGCGTAGTGTGCACATGAGTGTATGTGCATGTGTGGTTGCATGTGTAGTGTGCACATGAGTGCATGTGTGTGCACGTGTGGTCATACGCGTAGTGTGCACATGAGTGTATGTGCATGTGTGGTTGCATGTGTAGTGTGCACATGAGTGCATGTGTGTGCACGTGTGGTCATACGCGTAGTGTGCACATGAGTGTATGTGCATGTGTGGTTGCATGTGTAGTGTGCACATGAGTGCATGTGTGTGCACGGGTGGTTGTATTTGTAGTGTGTGCATATGTGGTTATATGTGTGGTATGGATATGAATATGCATGTGTGGTTGTATGTGTACAGATGTGCGCGCACTTGTATGTGTAGTATGTGCATGTGTGGTTGCATGTGTAGTATGTGCATGTGTGGTTGCATGTATAGTGTATGCATTAATATGCACGTGTGGTTGTGTGTGTAGTGTGCACACGTGTGCATATGTGTGCATGAGTGGTTGTGTGTGTAGTGTGTGCCTGAATGTGTGTGTATGTGTGGTTGTATTGTAGTGTGCCATGTGTGCGTGTGTGTGTGCACATGTGGTTGCATGTGCATTGTGTGCACATGAATGCATGTGTGGTTGCATGAGTAGTGTACATGTGAGCACATGTGTGTGCACGTATGTGGCTGTATGTGTAGTGTGCGCATGAGTGTGTGTGCATGTGTGGTTGCATGTGTATTGTGTATCTGAGGACCCAGGTGCATGTGCATGGCCGAGTTTGTTGACAGTATGTGTCACTCCCTGTGCTGCTAGGGGCAGCCTGGTCCCCGCACCCCTCAGGACAGGGTCCAGCCCAGCTGGGCTCTGGGCCTGGGCACCTCCCCGTGAACCTGCCTGACTCGGCATCTGCACTGCCAGCGACGGCCACCAGGGGTCACTGCTGCTGCTCGTCCTCGCGGCCCCCTGGGGGCAGACACGTGAAAACTGGGCGTGGGCGCTTCCTGGAGGCAGCGCAGGGGCTGAGGACAGGCGGTTTCTTTTTCCCGCGGGGTCGTTCAGCCCTTCGTTTCTCCCCGTCGTCTGAGGGCTCTCCTGGAGTGGCGTGTGGCTGGGCCTACACGGAAACAACCCGCTGGTTGCCCTGCTGTCCCCGAAACTCCTTGGCAGTTTCTTTTCCATCGACACGTGACCATTATCTCTTAGCTGGGCGAAGTTCTAGGAGGCCGGCCCCGGCCGAGGCCATGCTGGCCTGAGCCCCTCCTGCGGGGCGGCCCGCGGCCCCGCGTGGCTGAGTGAGCCGGGCTTCGCCGTGTCGCGTGGTTTGCCAGGCCGAGTGACCGCAGCCTGGGGTCTGCACCTCCCGCCCTCCCCCCAGAGTTCTGTGGGTGGCCCGGACGTCATCTCAGCGCGGCTCCGGACGCACGCCCTGCGGGGCTCCGGGTCCCGGCACCCGGCACCCGGCACCGTCATGCCGGCTCTCCTCGCTGTAAATCAAGAGCCTCGTTCCCCAGGGAGCCGGGATAATGCTGCCTGAGAGCCGTCGTGAGCCGTGGGACACGGGCGCCCTGGCAGTGCCCGGGCTGCCGACTGCCCCGAAGTGCTCGATTAGGGTCACGCCACGTGCCGACTCCCGCCCCGTGACGGCGCCCTCAGGAAATGATGGAGGGGTGAGGAGAAGACGTGACCGTACAGCGTGCCGCCCACCGCGGAGGCAGAGGGAGACGAGGGTGGGCCGGCCCGCTGTGCCGAGGAGCCCCACCTCGGCCTGGCCGTGCGGGCTGGGCGTGTGCACGTGCCTTGTGCGGGAGCCGTTGGCGCCGGGGCACAGCCTGCGTGTACACTGCTCGGTTTCCCGTGCGTTCCTCGGGTCCTCTTTCTTCTCTCGGCTTCCTCGAGCACAGGCCGAGCGGGCATCTAGGGATGCGGCCCAAGTGCTTCTGCCGGGGGAGACCAGGACCAGCTTGCTCAAGGTCCCTGCTGCGGGCGACCCCATCCTCTCCTCCTGCGCCTTCAGAAGCTCAGAGGAGTGGGACGTCCCCATTCACGCAGTGACCCTGGTGACGCTCGTCAGGGGGAGTGCCATCTGAAGAGGGAGCCAAGGGCCGGGCCTCAGACGGGTCACAGCCACGACCGCCCCGCGACAGCGTGCTGCGTGTCCTGGGCGGCACGGGCATGTGGGTTGGGTGAGGGGAGCACCTGGCCGGAGCAGGCCGCGGACACAGGGCAGGAAGCAGCCCGAAGCCACCGAGATCTTGGCAGTGAGCGTTCTGGGGACACCGAGGCAGGGAGAGACTGTGGAGGCTCCGTGTGGGGGCGCACCGGGGTGTGAGAGGCCTAGGGTTGGGGGACCCGGCAGTGTGCCACTGCACTCTTGGGCCTTGCCCCTCGAAGGCCCACGGGGTCGCGACACCCCCGCTGATGCCCTGCTGGTCACACAGCCTGGCCAGCGTCGGCGCACCTGCACGCTCAGCCGACCTGGATGGTCTTCTCTGCAGAGGGTCCTCCCCGCCCCGCCCCGGAGTGCCGCCTTCCGCAGCGGGCTCAACAAGCGGGGAAGGCCTCTCCCCGCCAGCCTGCCAGGACGCACAGCCCGCGGGGAGTCCTGGCCCCGCTAGGCTGCTGTGGTGCTGCCGGGGTGGTTCCAGTTTCTGAGACCCCACGGCTGCACGTGGAAGGGATGATTGCCAGGTGCCGACCGCCGGCCTCAGGCTCCTGGAGGCCTTGGGGGCGTCGCTGGAGGAGTGGGCAGGTGGGGAAGGGCTAGGTGGACCGGCCCCGGCACCTCACTGTGCCCTCCCCTTCCCGTGGCATCCTGAGAGCAGCCTCGCTTCTCCGCCATCCGGAGTCTGCCGGGGCCCCGGCTCCCAGGCGGCCTGCGCTCCTGGGCCACTCACAGGGCCTGCGTGTCCACGTCACAGTCCTGCTACGGCTTTCCTTTGGAAACTGGCCCTGAATGTCAGCGACTGTTACTGAGTTGTCAGAAAGAGGGTTCACTTCAAAAGTGCGAAACTAGGGCCAGCAGGCGGCCTGGGGGTTAAAGGCGCTGAACTGGTTGGCCGTGGTTCAAGTCCCGACTCTGGCAGCTTCTTTTCTCACTTTCCCTCTATGTATCTCTCTGGTCAGATTAAAGACAATAATAATCATAGATAAAGTCAAGTAAAAAATATTTTTTTGAAGTGTGACATTACAGAACTGGTCCCGTGGCCTAGAGGTTAAGGGAGCCTGATCCTGCATGGCTGACAGCGCAGTTCGAGTCCTGGACTGGGAACCTTGAAAGGCTCAGCAGGCAGGTTGGCCAATGCAAAAGCCCAGCAGGAGGAGGGGAGAGAGGAGGGACTGTGCACAGCCACACCCTGCCGGGCGCTCTGTCTGTCTCTCTGGCGAGCACGCAGTCTTCCTGGCAAAGCTGGAGAAGACGTGGCCACACGCAGAGGGGCCGGGAGGGCTGGTGGCAGTGGGCAGGAGAGCGTACGCTTTTCTCTACACCTGCCCTGCGGGTGTCCGCCACTTTCCAGGTACCTCTGGGATCCCAGCTGCTCGCCCCCGCCCCAGAGCACTGCCCCGCCAGACTTGGGCCACAAGGTCTGTGGTGCCGTCGGCTCTGCATGGGGGACATCACGCTCTCTCTTCTCTTCTCACAGACGGAGTGTTTGGAAGGTGCCAGAAGCTTCCGGTGCTAGACGTGCACCGCGACGAAGTGCCCCCGGGGGCCCTGCAGCACCTGCGCGGCACCTTGCAGACGCTGTCACGCACAGGTAGGGCGGCACGGGCACTTCCATGCCGTGGCTTCGTGTGAGCTTGGCTTACCCTTAGACGCCGCGGACCCCGAGTCACGGGGGCTCCCACCGGGGTTCTGTCTCGGAGAGCCCTGGCCACCTGCGTGCCCAGGAATGATGGGCTCTCAGTGCCTTGGAGGGCGAGGACACATTGGGCTGCACCCCAGATCGGCCGGGCAGGGGTGAGGTGTTCAGGGCCAGCAGCTTGTCTGGACTGGACAAAGCAGCCCAGACGAGTCCAGACCAGACTGGCCTTTCCCTTCCCGCCCCGCCAGTCTCTGCTGCTGTGGGGTGCAGGTTTCTGGGAGTTTGCTGTAGGAGACCGATTGCCTATTGGCTGCACGGGGACAGGCAGGCCATTTAAAATGTGAAGTGATTGCAGCGTAAGTGCCTAGCTTTCACCATGTACACGCGGTTTAGCGTATGCTGCCAGGGGCATGTCACCTACATGGCCGGGGTAGGTGCCTCATCAGGCCGGCCTGTCCCGCTCACTAAGGTGGAGTCCTGTCCCCACGGTGGGCACGGACAGGCCTGTCGGTGACCACACACAGTGACCAGGAGCGAGGCCTGGGCTGTACCTCACTCAGGTCGTGGCCTCTGCAGAGGGTCTGCTCCATAAGGCATGTGGTCGTGCTCCAAAGGGTTTGGGGACCACCTTTCCTCGCCCCTCCTCTGCGAGGTCCTTGGTAAGGAACTGCGCTGGCCTGTCTACTTTGCGCCCTGGGCCGGCCCCTCCTCCCACGTCGTCAGCTGTGGGGGTTTGAGCAGGGAGGCCATGTCATGAGCAGCCCCGCGAGGCTGAGGGGCACACCTTGCAGAGTGGCAGGAGCGAGTCTGTCGCCTGGGGCTTGAGGCCCACAGTGACCGGGAGCCCGGGGCCAGCTGGAGCCCGCGGATGGCCCCAACCCCGTTGTGAGGGGCCTGGCAGCCCTGTCCTCTGAGTGGGCCACGTGCACCCTCATCTGGCTGCACACGCCCGCCCTCCCTGTACGAGCTCTCGGGTGCTGGGTCAGGCAGGAACGTCACGGAGATGTCACACGTGTCTGGGAAGATGGGCGCCCCGCAAGGCAAGGGAGAGACGGGAGGGAGCCCCATCATTGCGTGCGTGGATGTGTCCCGCCAGAGTGAGCCAGAGCTCCACACCCGCCACCTGTCTCCGCCACCATCCCCTCTGCCTTCCCTTGGCCTTGGAGGCCAGGTCACTCATGGTCGTGCCTGCAGGGACTCAGGTCCACGTCCTGTGCTGTGGCCCCGCATTCCCGCCCAGGGGGTCCTCACAGCTTTCCATGCACTGGCTGCAGGGCGTAGGTGCCAGGAGGTGCCTTTCTGACGCCGTCCTCCTCACCCTGTCATGCCGGAGCCACACGCCTCCCCCAGCCAGCGTCGCCTCGCCAGACCTGTGCCCTCGGCCTTTGGTGTAGGCGTGGTGAGGCCACAGCGGACACGGCAGCCCTTGACGTTCTCGTGCCCCCTGCCGCAGTGTCCCTCCCACTGGCACTGAGACCTCCGGGTCATTTGTTGGTGGGGCCCTGGGAGGAGGGAGCAGGGCCGCCCCGTTCCCACCCCGCGATTCCTGGACTGGGCTCTGACGTGGGCAGGTGCCTTCTGGAGGACCACGTCGACCTGCGCAATGTGGCCGCCCAGCTGGCCCTCCCCTGCAGCTTCTAGGCTGTCTGCCGTCGGGTCTAACCACTCCTGTAGGTGATGTGGAGCACGGCCGGCCAGAGTCTACCCGGCCACGGCCACGGCCTCACCACTGCTTGGCTGTGCGGCGAGTTCCTGGCCCGGGTTCGACGTGGGTGGGGCGAGCTCCGTGCAGATCCGTGGCGGCAGGCGGGCAGAGGCAGGCAGGCAGAGCGCGTGCTGAGTGTGCTCCAGGGAGCGTGCAGCCCACCCCTGCCGGCAGCCGGGGCACCCTGAGGAGCGGCCACGCGGGGCCGAGCTGCCAGGTGGCCACGTAGCCATGATGGTCCAGGACAGCCTCAGGGAGCGGGAGTCCGAGGTGCTGAGCCCCGAACCCGACAACTTGCTTTCTTACTTTCCCTTTCTTCCTCCCTCTGTCTCTGTCTAGTCAAATAAAAAAATACTAATGAATAAAATAAAATGAAGCAGCTCACTAGAAGCCGCGTCTGAGGGATGCGCAGCGCCCGGCCTCCCAGGGACAGTCCTGTGTGCCGTGCCTGCTTTCGTAGTCTTTTGCAAGTCTCAAAAATTTTCAGTGGAAACTGGACATTTTATTTAACTATTTTTTCAGAGATTTTTGCTATAAGGTGAATGTGTTTGCCTGAGGCAGAGACAGAGATAGAGAGAGAGAAAGTGAGAAATCACTCCTCGGGGAGGATGGCCACGTCACGCTCCCATCTCCATTCTCCTCATGGGATTGTGGGCACATGCACACGTCGCAGCGTGTTTCAAGCTGCCGTGCCTGGGACTCAAACCTTGGTCGGCTGTGTAGGAGTTCAGCACCTTAACCACTACCAGCTGCTGCCCCGGCATTTTAAATGATACAGTGCAGCAGCTCTACAAATCACATTCTCTCTTCTCTTCAGGGCTTTACTGTCGCTGTTTGTCGCTGCTGTTTACTCGTTCAGTGACTTTTCTGCGCTTTGTCCTGTGTGGCTACTGACGTCCTGCTCCGCTCCTTACTGGCTAGACAGTGCTTGGACAGGTTTCCGTTAGCCCCGGGCCCCTAACCTCGCCATCTTTCCTGAGGCTTCTGTGTATGCTAGGCTCCCTTCGGCACTGAGCAGGCCCTCGATGGCTCTGCCTTAGCCTTCGCCTCCTGCTCGCCCAGGCCTGCGGGGCGGCGGGGGCGGAGCGTCCTCACGCCTTCCTGGGCACGTGCACAGCCCCCCACAGTCTCAGCGATGCGGAGCCTTGTGAAGCCGCCCCTCGAAGGGTCTCGGTTAGCCTGCTGTTTGCCCCAGCTGTTCTCCCCACCCCAGACAGCGGCACGGCAAAGCGAGTGTGCAAATGTGTTCAACGAAGGCCCACTGGGGTCAGACTCTTCCACACGTGAGTGAGTCGGATTAAATGAAGGCCTTTCAGGCGGCCCCTCCCGGGAACCACTAGCCTGGCCAGGCAGCGGCGCCGTCTGGGAGGAGACTTGGGGAGCACTCCGCCCGCCCCGCCCCTCTCAGCGACAGCCCTGCTCTTCTTCAAGCCACGGCAGAGCTGGAGAGGGGCAGAGTCAGCAGCCGAGTGCCAGAGACCTGGCTGCTCTGAGCAGCAGCTACTTTTCCAAACATGCTGCCCAGATTCTCATGAGCCTCCAGTTCATTTCAAAGCTCTGAAAAGTTGACTCCTGTATTTTTGACAGATTTCTCATTGATTTTTTGGAGTTCGAGGACTTTTGGAGGCCGTTTCTCTGTCATTCGCTGTAGCTTCTTGAGATTTCCTGTGTGTGGTCCCCTCCTCACCGTGTGTCTGGGGGAAGCACTGTCCTGGGACGGCTTCACTCAGAGTTGACTTAGATGTGGTTCTGGGGGCTCTCACCCTCTTTCTGCTCGGCCTGCCTTGGGTGGAGAGTGGGAACAACCACCGCAGCTCTGCCAGGGCCACGACCTCGGCCAGAAGCAGCCTCGCCCCGCCCGCCGGGCCTCCCTGCGTGGCTGTAGGTGGAGGTGAGCACTTGCCCTTTCCTGAGGAAGCGTCGGCTAGACTGTCCACCGTGGAGAAGGAGCCGCGCTGCTCAGCCCGGCCATGTTAAATAACTCGGGGAGCGTCCCAAACAGTGGGTTTCGAGGGTCTGTTCCTCAGAGACCCTGCATTTATTGACCTCTTAGGGGCCTCCCATTCGCAGTGCTTCGAAATTCCCCTGGTGACTAATATCCTTTATTTATTCTTGATGGCCGGGGATGCCTGTGCTTGCCAGAGAGAGACAGAGAGGTAGAGAGACCCAGGGCAGGAGAGGGAGGGCGTGCCCCAGGAGGTGTGGTCACCGCGGTCCCTGCTCCCGCTTCTCCGCCCTGTTAGGACTCCGGTGTGCACACCTGCCTGATGTGCTTCAGGCCCGGCTGGGGTTGGCAGTGCTGTTGGCCTTTGGGGTCTGGCCGCCTTATCAAGGTGACAGCCCTGCCCGCCAATATCACGCCTTCCTCATGTCTGAAGCGGGACCTGTTCTCTGGGTTACCTGGGACATGCCCTGTTCTCGCGGCGCTTTTAGCTGAGCATTGCTAGTTTTGCGCGGCGAGCTCGCTAGTGTCCAGATCCCATGTGGAAAGGGGCCTGACGCACCTGCTCACTTTCCGCGGAGTGACACAGAAGAGCCTTACTCGGGAGGTGGGGCGGCTCTGCGTGAGGCACGTGTGGCCTGGTAACCACTGAAGACCACCGAGAGCGCCCGAAACGTCGCGAGGCCCTGCTCCAAGTGTGTGTTAGACGCAGGAACGGACCAAGTGGTCCATCGTTCCACTTAAAGATATAAATGATGAGCTGCTCGTATTATCAGCATGGTAGCTGTATTTTCCAAAACACAAAGAATTGAGTGGAGAGGTGGGTGCCAGTTAGTGAGAAGGAGGAGGTGGTCTGCAGGGGGACATGGTGGTCAGCGGGGAGGTGGCGGTGGGTCAGCATGGAGGAGGTGGTGGTCAGCGTGGAGGAGGTGGTGGTCAGCGTGGAGGAGGTGGTGGTCAGCGGGGAGGAGGTGGTGGTCAGCGTGGAGGAGGTGGTGGTCAGCGTGGAGGAGTTGGGGTTCAGCTGGGTGGTCAGCGGGGAGGAGGTGGTGGTCAGCAGGGAGGAGGTGGTGGTCAGTGGGGAGGAGGTGGTGGTCAGCGTGGAGGAGGTGGTGGTCAGTGGGGAGGAGGTGGTGGTCAGTGGGGAGGAGGTGGTGGTCAGCGTGGAGGAGGTGGTGGTCAGTGGGGAGGAGGTGGTGGTCAGTGGGGAGGAGGTGGTGGTCAGTGGGGAGGAGGTGGTGGTCAGTGGGGAGGAGGTGGTGGTCAGTGGGGAGGAGGTGGTGGTCAGTGGGGAGGAGGTGGTGG